AGAGCAGGAACACAAGCAGGGGGAGTGGGAGAGGGAGAAGCAGGCTTCCCGCCGAGCAGGGAGCCCGATGTGGGACTCGATCCCAGGACCCTGGGATCATGACCTGAGCCGAAGGCAGACGCTTAACGACTGAGCCACCCAGGCGCCCCTCCCCATTCCCATTTTTAAAGAAATATACTACACACATAAAGCCCTTCTTTATACATATTAATTTCTTACCTCTGAAGAGTAACAAATAAAAATAATACTCAAACCAAAAACAGCTACTCAAATCCCATTCCTATCTCCTTCTACTTTCTTTTTAAATCTCAATAGTCTCAGAAGCTTCTACAGACTCTCACCTTCTAAAAGTAAGTTTAAAACATAACTATTTAAAAATATTTAAAACATTGTAAATATCCAAACCATTTCATCATGTTTGAAAACTTCTGGTCCACGCTAGCCGGGTACTACACTGACTTGATGTTGTGGGTGTCATCTCAGAGATTTTTGCTCTATACTTGACTATGTCACTTTTATTTATTTTTTTTTAAGAGAATCTTCTTTCTTTAATATTTTATTTATTCACTTTTGCGACACAGAGAGGGAGAGAGAGAGGGAGGGAGAGGGAACACAAGCAGGGGGAGAGGCAGAGGAAGAAGCAGACTTCCCGCCAAGCAGGGAGCCCAATGCGGGGCTCCATCCCAGGACCCTGGGATCATGACCGAAGCCGAAGGCAGACCTTAAAGACTGAGCCACCCAGGTGCCCTGACTAGGTCACTTTTAGTTAGTATTCCCCAATATTCAATGGAATGATAAACACAACATCTACAGTTGGTTGAAAGTCATTTTTAAACTACTTAATACTATTTAGACTTAATGAAGAATTACTGGCAAAGAAAAAAGCCAAATGCAAAATAACATGAGTCCATTACTTTACTAAATAACTTAAAACTTAGGGGAGGGATGCCTGGGTGGCTCAGTCGTTAAGCATCTGCCTTCGGTTCAGGTCATGACCCCGGGGTCCTGGGATGGAGCCCGCCCCCCACCCCCCCGCCTGCTGCTCCCCCTGCTTGTGCTCTCTCGTTCTCGCTCTATCTCTCTGACAAATAAATAAATAAAGCTTAAGGGAAAAATATTCAAGCTGTATGCTGATGTAAACTGAACAGGCTGATTTTGTCTATGAATGCTTTTTTTTTTTTTTTTTTTAAAGATTTTATTTATTTATTTGACAGAGAGAGAGGAAACACAAGCAGGGGGAGTGGGAGAGGGAGAAGCAGGCTTCCCGCGGAGCAGGGAGCCCGATGTGGGGCTCGATCCCAGGACTCTGGGATCATGACCTGAGCCGAAAGCAGACGTTTAACGACTGAGCCACCCAGGCGCCCCTCTCTATGAATGCTTAAAGTGCTGTTCTTCATTATTGGACAGCTGCCAACTCACTAAGGCCCCAAACAAGTTTAAGTTCTATTTTTTCCACATTAGTTTCATAGTTAAAATGGTATCAGAAAAAAATTATCAATGATCAGTGATATTATCTATCTAACCAATGTAAAAGTCGTAAGAAGAACAAATAAGAATACACTAACAATTTCTAGTCTAAATAAGAGGTATTATTTTTAATAATAAAAACTTGAATTATGGGATGCCTGAGTGGCTCAGTTGGTTAAGCGACTGCCTTTGGCTCGGGTCATGATCCTAGAGTCCCGGGATCGAGTCCCGCCATCAGGCTCCCTGCTCAGCAGGGAGTCTGCTTCTCCCTCTGATCTTCCCCCCACTCATGTGCACTCTCTCTTTCTCTCTCTCTCTCAAATAAATAAATACAGTCTTTAAAAAAAAACTTGAACTATGAAAACAAAACTCAGTAATTTAAAAACATTACAAGAAAATAGTAATTCCCAGGGGCGAAAGATCATTTGTTCAAGTCAACTGAAACTTCCTGTGAGCTTACTATGTCCCTGTCAATGTATTAGATGCTGAGATACAAAGACGGATGACCCTCCCCTTAAGGAGCTCGCCATCTAGTAGAACATGGCCAAATAAACAAGTTTTTACAAAAGTGTCTACAGGCAACAGAAGACTAACTGAAAATCAAAGATAACGGAGGAAGGAGTGATTACCTATAAGAAGTTACAGAAAGCTTCAATAATGAGACAACGCCAGAACTGAGTTTTTAAAGCGTTCACAAAGCATGATCTGGGTGTCAGTCACACAAGTATATACAACAGTAAAACGTCATGAACATGTACATAAAATCAGTGTACTCTCCAGGCTTCAACGATACTTACGTTTACCTCAGTAAAAAAGAAAATAAAGTTCATCAGAGAGCATGGGTAAAGTCATTTCAGATAAGAGTAAACAATGTATCTACAGACAGAAAGGCAAGAAATAGCTTGGTGTGACAATTTAATTTGGTACTGAGGGAGAAGACACTAGAGAAGGAAGCAGGGGCTAGATAATGATGGGCCTTGTATGCCTGGATGGCAACAGGGAAACACTGAAGTGTTTCAAGCAGGCTAGTGATATGATCACATTTGCACACAGGCTATGCAAGCACACACTGTGAAGGAGACACCTAAGTGGTGACACTGTCTTCAGAGAGACCATTTGGAAAGCTACTCCAAAACCGTAAGCAAGAAATAATCGGGGAAAGGAAAGCTGTCCTGAGTGCCTACAACGTGCCAGGGACTGGATACTTTACACATATTATCTTGTTAAATCCCTAAAAGAGGCCTAAGAGGTTGATACAATCTTAGTTTTATAAATGCAGAAGCTGAGGCTCAGAAACTTTTGTAAAATGTTTCTACCATACCGTGGCATGCAGCTCCAGGCAGAATGGGTTTGAAAGATATCTGGGCGGTAAAATCAGTAGGTGTTTATGATTATCTGGATACAGTATGAGCTGGGGGACAGTGAGGAAAATGACAGGCAGACAGATACACTCAGACCCACAAGTTAGGAACAACTTTCAGATTTCTACACAACTCACTATTTATAGTACTTGGCCCTATGCCTAAATAATTAATTTTCAGCGCACATAAAAAGTGCCTATTCACCTGGATTTCTTCTTTCATTAAATATGAGAGGCCCACTTCCTCTTCTCCCTCTCCCAGTTCTGAGCCTGCTTCATCTTCATCCTCATCTTCATCCTCCTCTTCTTCCTCCTCCTCTTCTTCATATTCTTCAGGTGGACCAGCTTCATCTTCCTCTTCCTCTTCATCATCTTCATCTCCATCTTTAAAAATATTTTAAAAGACGAGCAAACGGCTGAGCAAATGTTTCTTGCTAGTATGTTGATCCTACCTGCCCTTGTCCCAATCACCTCCAACTCTTAAGTCAATGGGTAGATGGAAAGTATCTCAGGGTGATTTTCTTTTTTTAAGATTTCCCTTCCAAGGGGTGCCTGGGTGGCTCAGTCGGTTAAGCTTCTGACTCTTGATTTCAACTGAGGTCATGATCTCAGGGTTGTGAGTCAGGCTCCACATTCAGTGGGAAGTCTGCTTGACTCTCCCTCTGCCCCTCTCCCTGCTGATGCGCCCATGCTCTCTCTCTAAAATAAATAAATAAATCTTTAAAAAAGATTTCCCTTTTACAACATCCATATTTACTATTTGAGAAATATGGTTTCTATTTCTTTTTAAAGATCTTATTTATGGGGCCTGGGTGGCTCAGTCATTAAGTGCCTGCCTTCGGCTCAGGTCATGATCCC